TATATATATATATATATATATATATATATATATATATATATCTGATTCTCTGTGTGTGTGTGTCTGTACCTACGTGTGTATCTCTCTCTCCCCTTGACGTCCTATACACACACACCCATACACACCACAGAATCCTTTTTAGAAACATAGTTCAAACAGTGTGTTTGCCTTTACAGTGTATATGAATGGATAAGAAACAAAGAAAGAGCCAGAAGAGGTGTACATTCCCAGCATCAATCCATAAGTGCAGGATAGCTGTAATTAAGTCTCTCCTGAGAGAGATTGATTCTTACTCCCCACTGAAGAATGGATTTGTATAGTTATAAATGTAAACTTTGAAAGCCTTTAAAGATTCAAGTTTTAGTGCCGACCAACCACATGCTACTGTTTAGAAACTTGATGGAAATTGTTAAGGCTATCTGCTCCAGCTCTCCAGTTCTCCTGGAAATTAAGTCCTAGATTTTAATGAATTTATTCAGACATTTAGGTAGGACATGTCTTAGGCAGACTAGAAGTAAGTTTCCCATATTTTCAATCTAATCATCATTCTAATCCAAATTTTAATTTAGGAAAATATTAAGAGATGTTTGTACATTATTGCTAATATATCAATCTCTAAAATATTAAATTGTCACATTTTTGGTTTGGTTGATTGTTTCTGAGATAAGATCTCATATAGCCTAGATTGACCTTGACCTCTTGATCATCCTGCTTCCATCTCCTCTGTGCTGGCAATATAGAGATATACCACCAACTGTGGATTTGGTTATACATACTTAAGTCTTCAGTTGCCATTATGTGCCAGGCCCTGTACTGGGCTGGGTGGTTAAAGATAAACTAGCTAATAGGTATATGCAAATGAGTGCCGGGATGCCAGTCAGTGGGTTGTAGACAGCCAGCCAGTTTCTGACACTTGAAGAAAGAACTGCTTCTTCAGCTTTCTTCCACTTGAGGTTTGTAACCTCCAGCAAATTAGTGTGTTTTCAGCAAATAAAAGTGAGAATTTTGCTTAGCTACTGTGTAGCTACTGTGTAGAGATTTCAGAAGAAGGAGGCCTGAAGCTAGAACCACAGCAAAGTCATATGAAATAAGTCAGATTCCACTCTGCATACACACATGTTCAACCGCTGGGGATGCTGATCTTGTCTGTACTGAGTTCTGTATGTCCAAAGGAGATACATGGAGGATGCATCATTGTACAGACACACAGCTATAGCCCACTAGCTCTTCCACTGGGGAAGGCTTACACATAGAGGCAAGCTATGCTTAGTGTCTTGAGATGTGTGCATTCCCTCTTCCTGCACAAAGCTGTTCCAGAAACTTTCTTTGTTGTCGTGCATCTGGGGACAGTGCTGGGTCTGTCATGCTTTAAGGTGTCTCTTGTTCACATTGGTCTAGTCACTAAACCTCTAGATTATAGTGCTACCCATGAGCCCCTGTCATTTTTTTCTGGAGAAATAAAATTACAGGCAGAATACTTGTTCTTATCATGCATGATTGTTATTTACAAGTTGTGCCTTTTAGGAGAAATCTACACTTTGCAGTCTGCTAGCCTTCTTTTAGATATTTGAATCCTGGGCCCTAATTAATATCAGTTGCCTTTCCCAGAGGAAGAAAATATTCAAAGGCTGAGTGAAAGTACATTAGCTCTGTCACAGTGATCTGCATCTCCGAAGTCTTTACTTTATACCTAAAATTAAGGGCATATCTTTAAGCAGGGCACCTGTGATATAGGATGTTTGATTACATTGTGAACCCCAAGACTGTGGACTGGAAGAAAACTTGTTTCTAGTTGTGGTGTGGCTCAGCCATTAGCACACACCTTTAATCACAAGCAATGAAGGTAAAGTTAGTTTGTAGAAGGAACCACCATGTTTGAAAGTGATATCTAATTGAGTGGCAGACGAAGCAATGGATCAGAAAGATTTGACAGGATAGGATATGTCCAACTCCCGCAATACAAGAAAGGAAAGGGAAGCTACTCCAGGGGTAATAGAGAGAGAGGAGGAGGCGGTTTTATTGGGAAAGTTGTAAAGACAGGTTGCAGAGAGAGAACAAGCTAGACACAGGTGAAGACAGAATGAGCCAGAGAGTGAGAAGGAACTAGAAGATCAGAACGGATTGCCAAAATTAGTTGGTAGCCAAGCAGAACAAAAAGTCAGGCCAAAGAGAAGCCAGAGTAAGTAAGTCAGCTTAGGAGTTTGAACCAGAATGGCTGAGTTGGACCAGCCAGACATCAGAAAGAACAAAAAAGGGTGAGCTTATTCAGCAGAAGGTCTCAGAGGCTGAAGACATTCTAGGCTTAAATAAGATTGTATAGAGGCTGGAAGCTTCCAGGACAAGCTAGGCCTAGGTTAGCAGTTGGAGGCAGCAAGCCTCAGAGACAATTGCTTCAGGCAAATAAATAAAGGATACTTTTACATATCTGCTTCCTCAGGCCCCAGTCTTTTTGATGTAGAGGGCGTATCTTATAAATTCACACGATGGTCTCTGATGGGTTTCAGGATGTACTGAAATAGAGCAGTAGGCTGAAAATCAGGAGACTAAATTGTGTGCCAGAATGTAATTTTAAAGCCTGTAAATGTGTGGCTTACTTTCATTATTTCTCATATGATATAAACGTGATGGCTTCCGTTCTCATTAAAGGCTAGGACCACTTGTGGAGCTCTGAGCGCTGGCCGTGTGTGACGTCACCTACTCTTTGCTCTCCCCACACACCATCCCTAATCTCTGATGCATGTGTTTTCTCAGCTGCGCCCCTAAATAGTAGGGTCTCTATGTGTCTTAATCTGCCTAGTTCTAGCCACTAGTGCAGTATTCTGCACTTAAAAACACAGGGCCAGGGGCACTAAGGCAGGGGAAGCATGAGTTCCAGGCCAGCCTGGGCCACATAGTAAGACTGTTTCAAACACCGAGGGCTGGCTAAATTATCTCAGCCCTTGGATCTCTTAAAACTGTTAAGTGAGTAAATGATTTTTTTCTTGTATAGGTGAGTTTGTTTTATTCTATCTTGTCAGTTTGCAAAATAATACCACATGCCAAAAATGCTTTACCAATGTTTTTAACTATCATTCCTAATGCAGCCATAACCAGGCTCTGTTATGGGGAAGAAAGCAGAAACATGGCTATCGGTGGAGCCTACGGCACAGCACCTGATACAGAGAGGAGCATGGTGTTACCTGCAGGTGTGGTGTAAGGGCTCCTGTAAATAAGACCCAAGCTGAAGTAGACACGGGAGGTGTAACCAGGTCACACTCATGCTATGGCTCATATTTTGAATTACGATGAATACTTTGCTTGATGTATGTGATTTCTCTCCTAAGTCTGTCTCTTTGTATAATGCATCTCTTTACCACTGATGTCCTGGCATTATTCACTCACAACAGAATGTGTTCTATGAGACCTGAAGACCACCGGTTTGATTAAGGATCATACTCACCCACAGGCTTGGGTTTGAAGGCTTAGTCACCAGGAAGTGGAATTGTGAAAGGGTAAGGAGAAGTAGGAGGAGTGGCAGTGTTGGAGGAATTGCATCCCTGGGCTGGCAGTGGGATTTGAGGTCTCAAGTGTCCACACCAGGCCCAGGCATGCTCCCCCACACCCCGTCCTCATCTCTCTGCTTGAGGATCACCGTGTAGCTTTCAACTACTTCTCCAGCACCATGCTTATCTGCCTGCCACCATGCTCCCCATCTTGATGATAACGGCCTGACCCTGTGAAACCGTAAGCAAGCCCCAATTAAATGCTTTCTTTTATAAGAGTTGTCATGGCCATGGTGTCTCTTCAGCCATAGAGCAGTGCCTAAGATGGAGACTGAAGTTCTTTTTAGGAGTTTATTTCCTTCATATCTCCAGAGTCCTTAAAATGCTTGTGAAAGATGGAACTGACCTGTTTTATTCTGAAGTACCTTGGAACCATGTGTGTCCTCCTCCCCTTCTGATAAGCACGTGTGTTGCTTCCTTTAGGCGGATTTTCTATGGGAGGCTGCATGGCGATGCATTTAGCGTACAGAAATCACCCAGATGTGGCAGGAGTATTTGTTCTTTCTGGTTTTCTGAATAAAGCATCTGCTGTTTACCAGGTAAGTTCCAGATTTAAAAAAAAAATCAAATAAGCAAATGTAACATGAAACATAAACACAATGAAACTAAAATAAAGTCGATCATTAAGCAATAAAATGTGGTGCCTAGTTGATACAGATTAATAGTGCCTGGAATTCCTGGCCAGATGAGTCATGTCAAGTCCAGGAGGCCTTGGTGTTCAGCAAGTACGTCATGAAAAGGACAGTTAGAGAGGAAGGCTATGGTTAGTATTATATGAATCCTTTATACCGAACTAGAAGGTAGAAGACTATAGTCAGACTTTCTTGTTATGAGTCTACTCAAAAATCACTTATAAAGCTAGTACTTTGGTGTTACATCTTCATGACCAAAAGTTGAACAGGGAAGTAGAATGTGGCTTCTTTCTCCAGTTATGCCTCAGCTGTGTCCTTGCATTTACATCCAGTTCTTGAGGGAACCCTTCACTGTCCTTTGAAGAGTCCTCAGTGATGTAAACAGAGAGCACATACCCATCCATCCATCCCTCACAGCGGCCTGCTCACTGGCATAGATGCTCACCTCGCTCTATACCACCCCACACCCTCTTCCTCTACCTACGGGAGCTGTAGTGAGCTAGACGTGGTCTTCTCTGATTGATTGCCTAACTGGGTTGTCTCATATCTTCCTTTAGGATCTTCAGCAAGGTGGCCACGTGTACCCTGAGCTCTTTCAGTGTCACGGCACTGCAGATCAGCTAGTTCTTCATTCTTGGGGCGAGGAAACAAACTCAAAACTGAAATCTCTAGGAGTGAGCACAACATTTCACAGTCTTTCAAATGTTTACCATGAGCTCAACAAAGCTGAGCTGGAGAGGCTAAAGTCATGGATTCTCACAAAGCTGCCAGGAGAGACAGACGGCCAAGTGAATGACTCCTGAATGGTATATTGATTGTTTATCTTACATCTAACATTTCTTTCTTACTTGATCCTCACAAAAACTAAGATTGCTGAAACAGCCAGCAACCCTACATCATACAAATGAAATTGCATATCTGTCTATTTTCATTCAACCAGATTGTCTTGAAAATCATCATGTGATGAATGTCAACTGTCTATTTTGTCGCTGCATAGGTGCCATTGAGGGGGCACACTGAAATTTGCTTGTCCATTCACCACAGATTTGGGTGGCTTCCTGTGAGAGACTATCATAAATAGGGCTGTCATGAGGTGTAAACATCCACCTTAATGGTGGAGAGCCTGGTGACATGTTGTAGCATCGCCTGAAACTGCCCAGCTGTTTCTCAATGTGGCTTTAGCATCTTCTATTCCAGCCAGCAGCGTGGTAGCCCTTGATGCCCAGTTCTGCACTAGTCTTTCATCTTGCCCATTCTAGTGGCTGTGCAGTGTTCATGTAGCATTTGACTTCCATTTTCTTGGTGCCAATGATGTGATACAGAATCCTTCACTAGAGGGTTTTCCCAGATTTGTGAAAATCAGTTTATCCTCCCCAATCTGTTTCTAGATTATCTTTGTGAAAGTGATTTACTGCCAAGTTATAATGACAAATAAAATATGAGAAAATAATTTACTGACTTGCAGACGTACTTATTAAAATGTCTAGTCCCATAATGAGTAATTTAATCTTACTACAGGTAGAATTAATTTAGATCAATAGCTGTGCATTGTGTTTCAGATAACTGGTTATAAACACTTAAAGATCTTTTATTTATTTTAAAATAAGTGTGTAATAATAGGTCTTTTGTGGTTTCACACACATATATTGTTCATTTCTCATAAATCTCCCTGTACTTCTTTCCACTGGCCCACTTACCCTCTGCTTTCATTTTATGTACGTTTGTGTACGTGTGTGTACATGTAAGTGTACATTATGTATGCGTGTACACATGTGTATGTACATTGTGTGTGCACATGCTTGTGCTCTGCATATGAGAGAACCCATGACAGTATGACACTGATCTTTTTCCCCTCTCCGCCTCCTCTCCAGTTCTCCTCCTCCCTTCTTCCTGGAGCTTCCTTTTCCCCCACATACTCCCGTTCTGCTCTCACATTGATCTGTATATAAACATAGATTCTTCATATAAGAGAACATGCAATAATTCTTCTTTGCAAATGATGCCTGTGACATTTAACATGTTCGCCACTTTTGATCACTTTACTGAAAATTAATAAATTTCTTTTTACATCTGTATAATACACCAAATTCTTTTTATCCTTTATCCATCAAGGCTTTGCACTGGCTCCGTCTCTGAACTACTGTGCATAGTGCTGCAGTGTGCACAGATGTGCAGCTATTTCTGTCATGCCCAGGACTGGTTTTGCTGGAGCATATGGTAGCTCTATGATAAGGTCTTGAGGAGGCTCTGTATTGATCTCCATAGTGGCTGCAGTCGTCTCTGTTCCATCCAGGAGTATTTACATCCTTGCCTGCATTTATTATCATTCTTTTATGACAGCCATCCTTACTTGGGTGAGATGAAATCTCAATATTATTGTGATTGTGATGTAGCTTATGCATCTAGAAGAGCTGGTGATGGGGACTCAAGGGTTTCTATGGTTTTTTTTACGAGGTTCATTTGATAAACAGGTCCTTTGAATCCTTTTCTCTTCACTAGTCACTGAATATGAGCTGGATTTTTCCATTCAGGCAATAGGATAGAGTCACAGTTCTTCTGGGGTCAGGTATTTCAGTTCAGCCCAACAATAAATAAATAAATTAATTAAATAAATAAATAGCCTTCATTTCAAAAATTGGAGTAACTGCTATCAAAAGGATTTAGTGTCCAAACTGTATGAGATACCTGTAAGTGGAAGCCTCCCCACTTTGCCAGGTTGATACCTTTCACAGTTACAGAGTTTCAAGTTCAAGGACTCATTGAAGATGTGAAGAACCAGAAGTCTCAACACTTTGTTATAGCTAGGTCTTCTCAAGTAACGTCATTTTGGCTGCTGACACACATTCTTAATAGAGGCTTGTTAAAACTGCACAGTAGCATTTTTAGCTTTAGCTGCAGAAGCCAAAACAAAGGCTGTAAAGCCACACAGGCTTACCTATCCTCTTCTCTCCCTGACTGTGGAACCTATCTCCACCCTAGCAATTAAACACATGTACACCTTCACTCCATGGAACTATGGAACAAATACCTCCGCCCAGCAAGCCCTCCAAAATGAGATGTCCTCCTTCCCAACATTCTTTGGTTATTAACAGATTTAAGTTGTTTCTGTCCCTTGTGGTCCCAAATATTCTCCTTCAGAGAGCTAAATTCTGAGAGAGGAGAGGGACAGATCAGGAGCACAGAACACTGGAGCAGTTCCATGTAGGAAGCAAACCCCATTTCCGTTCTGAGCTTGATTCAACTGCTTAAGAACTATTCAGGTCTGGGAGACGAGTTCCCTTATTTCCCGGAGGATCAGCTTTGTTCCCATTGTAAACTCGGCAGAGGGCCATAGTGGTGTGGTGATTTAAGTAAAAGTGGACCCCGTAGGCCCGTAAGGAGGAAAACTATTAGGAGGTCTAACCTTGTTGGAGTAGGAGTGATCTTATGGGAAGAAGTGGTGTGTATCAGTCACTACTTGCTTCCTCTCAGCTCCTTCTCCAGCACCAGTTCTGCCTGCATGCTGCCATGCTGCCACGAATTCCCACCATGACAGTAATGGGCTGAAACTCTGAAACTGTATGTCAGCCCAATGAAATGTTTTCCTTTATATGAGTGGCTGTGGTCATGGTGTCTCTTCCCAGCCATGAAACTCTAAAGCAGTCATATCATTTGTGCTTTCCCATGACAGTCCATCTCAGAACGTTCTCTGCAACGACCAAAGTTCTTAGGAAGCAGTCAAGGCTGTTATAACAGAAATGTGACAAAGTAAAGCTGTTAAGCCCCTTGTACCATCTTTGAATGATCTCTGACTAGCATGACAGGTGACAGGTGACAGGAGGGACACAGTTGGTGACCCTCTTCCTTTGGCTTTATTTATTTTGGCTCATAGCTTGAGGAGAGTAAGAGATAGCATGGTGGCAAAAACAACTGTTGGCTGTCAACACAGAAGAACAGGGCTGCTTGCTCATATCTGGGCAGATTAGGAAGAAAGCCAGCATAAGACACTGAGCAGAGCTGAACTGAGCTGGGCTGGACTTTAAACCCCAATGCCCTTCCTGTAGTGACTTATTTCCTCAGCTGTCAGGGGCCATCCAGGAAAGGCTGAAGGCATGCAAGTGAGTTTTCTGGAGATGGCCCACTGTTTTGCATGGCCTGCAATGAGTGAGTTCCCAGAATGCATGGACCTCAGAGACTTCATCACAAGATTTCTTCTTGCTATTGATATGCATTCTCTGTCACTATTACACAGCCTATTGATTCCTGGGCATCAGCCCACCCTATTGGGCAGATTTCCTGCAGATCAACATAAATATAAACTTTTGTAAATTAATGCTGTTTAGATGAATTAATGATTTTATACAATTTCTGATTTGATTCAAATAATTTTAGGAAGAAATTTTTAAGAGATAGTTTTAGTTGTTTTTGTCAGAAAGTATAATAAAGTTAGAATCAAGAATAGAATGTGCCCCCTCCTCATAGAATAGTAAGTAAAGGCTGCATAATAAGGAATACAATGAGTTTTCATTAATTACACTAAGAAGAGAAATAGGTTTGGGACAGATTTGTGATCAAGGAAGAACATTTATTCTAGGTCAGGTCCAAGGATGAAGCCACAGGTGTGCAGTATGATAAAACAAGTCCATGTGAAGCTGTTGCTTTGGATTTATAATGAGCTTATAGAATGAAACACTACTTTGGACTTAATATTGACATTATTCTATAAGTCCTCTTTTATGTAATATTTTATCTATGAGGTAATTCCATACAACTTTTGTCTAAGAAGGAATAAAAAGGCCAGAGAATAGAAGGTGGTGGCTTGGGGACTCTGCCTCATTCATCCAAATATATATGAATATATCTGTCTGTCTATCTGTATGTATACTCAAGAGTTAAAAGGTTTCAGAGATTCTCACTGGACAGTCTTGCTGGCCTCGGATAGTTAAGTTTTGTTCCCAGTAGTCCTGACCCTGTAAATCACCTGTTGCTGTCAGTGGGCCCTCAGTCAGCTATCAGCAGGACTCCAATCACCAATGTCCTATTCCCTTTCATTGCCTGCCTGGTTAACCCTTTGATGTGAGATCTGGCCTTTGACATCCAGCTAGGCTGTACCTCCTAAAGGTACCATGACCTCTCATAATAGCACCTCCAGGTGGGAATCAACGTTCAAACATGTGATCCTGTGAAAGACATTTTACATCCAAGCCATAACAGATTGCATCCTACTTCTTATAATATCACTAATCTGTCACTATGGAATTGTAATGTTTAAAATAAGAACTTTAGAGAGATTTACATACTATAGCATTAACTGACACCCATCTGGGATGAATATGTATACCAGTTACTGAAGGGTAGACTCATAGGTGAACCAGGCTGAGGTCTTCCTTCAATGGGGATTTAGCAACAGAGCACCATTGGAAAGCTGTTTGAACCTCAGTCTATAGTCACCTCACTGGGGGCAAGCTTTGAGAGTAAAGCCCTCAGGTTATGTTCAGTTTACCATCTCTGGTTTGAAGATGCAAGCTTTCAGCCTTCCATTTTTGCTCCAGTGCCTGTCACTTGTTGCTGTACTTCCCCAACATGATCGACTCCTCTTCAGTAATTGTAAGCCTAAATATACTTTTTCTTTTATAAACTGTATTTGGTTGTGGTGTTTTACCATAGCAACAGAAAAGTAATTAATGGTGATAAATGCAGAGACGCTTACCAGGCCAGCATGTAGAGAATAAGAGACTGTTGAGTTCCTGCCTCTAAGTGGGACATCTGTATCATAACTTGACAGAGTCCTGCTCATCTTCACAGGGTTACCTGAGGCAGGCAGTGAGGGTAGTGCTGGTGATTGTTGGGGGGTCGGGGGTGTTGACTTTTGGTAATATATCTCTTTTTTAGCATTTTTACTATTCTGTGGCCAAAGGCTGGTGGATTCTGGCAGTTTTACTCCATTAATTCTTTCAATATCTCTTTGCTATCCTGTCACCAGAAGCTGCTGGCTTCTAACAGTGTAACTCCTGATGATAGCAGGAGGAGATTAAGAAAAAAGGTTTAATTATTTGGTGTGGGAAAAAACTCACGTGTAGGGGGGCTGCTCATGGTGGAGGAGGTGGCCTGCGGGGACATGGCGGTGGTGGAGTCCTGGGGGCCTTTCCAGCGGGCAGGTTCCCACATACACAAGAAAGTCCCAGGCCCAGAAGACACGTGGAGTCCAAGATGAAAGTTTTATTGTCCATGATGGTAGTTGGATCTGGATGTTAGTGCACCCCCAAGAGTCTGGGGAGAGCTGGCTTATATAGAGGGTGGGAAGGAGGAGGGACTAGGGAGGAATAACTTAATTAGCTATGCCCCCAGCCTTTAGGTAACTCATTAATATGTAAATCTCTCAAGGCAGAGGCCTGTTAGTCACGCCCTCTACCTGTGTCTTACGTGACTGACTGCAGGTTAAATGGAGATGAGACCGCGTGTCAGGGCCCT